TCCATTTTGGCAGAGTGTCTGAAGCTGCCTCATGAGAGGGACTCTTTGGGCTAGCTATCATGCTCACAAATATCCAGGAATCCTAAAAGCACTGCCCTGGCCCCGGGGTTTACTGCAGCGACGGGCATGTCGATCAGCAGTTGCCTGAGCCTCTCCAGAAGGCCCAACTTACCTTGGGTTTTCTACTGTAAACATCATTGGGGCAGGGGAAAATCCCCTTTCTTCCCTTCCTGTGTTCCTATGGCTGGACTAATAGTAAAACTGACATAATACCAGATTAACAGGAGAAAAACCCAGTTTAATATGTAGGTATTGCAGATCATGGAGAGATGATGCTCAGAGAGTGAACAAAGCAACAGTGTATATATCTTTTACAGAAAGAAACACATTTGTGAGGAATTGGCAGGACAAAGAAAGGTTTGGGGTGTGTAATTAGTAAGGAATTTAAGAGGAGTTTCGGCTTGGGGTAGAAAATTAGCAAGGTTTGTTTCTGCAGGCTTCTCGGCCCTGAATCCCTGGCTCTGGGCATAAGGACAGAGGGACAGCACCTTTCACAGGGGAGATTTACTTCCTGCTTTCAGGGGAAACAGAGACAGGAGGGTCAAAATACCCTTCTTGTTTCTAAAGTAACTTTAATTCAAAATAATCAATATGCTATCATGGGATATTTTGGAGTGTCCTGCCCTGGGCCCCAGCAACATCTTTTGGCCTTAGTGTCAAAATCTAAGGATTCATCATTTGGATCATTGGTGCCAGGCTGCTGAGGGCCATGTGCCCAACTCAGCAGCGTCACACACATTACCTCTTGATTATCACAATGTATCAAGATAGTAGGTCATGTTTGCCGATGCAAATAATCCATAATCCAATCTATAAATCAAATCTGGGTTGAATTTATCATGAGCCAACCTTATAAGGACCTTATAGCCTGGGAGGGCACCTTCACAAAAGAAGGAAGCACTCCAAAGAAGTGGGGTATACAGAGTGGTTATAGACCATCTTGGAACAAACAGCATATATCACATGACAGGAATGTCCCTTTTACAATAGTCATGAGATTGCTTTGCTGGCACAGCAGGTAAGTGGTCACAAGGTGAGCACAGCAAGTCAGTAATTAATCCTTAGTTTTTAGGAGGAGCTGCTTATCCTTAACGGAATGTTGATATGGGGAAACAGACAGCCTTACCTTTAAGGGCATCATTCTTGTGTTTGGGACATCATAAATGTTTAAAGCAGGTGTACAGTGCATGCTCAACAGGCCACGTCAGGCCCTTTTGGAAAAACAAGGTCAGGCAAATTAGTTTTAAACCAAATGGCTTCCTCATATACTCCAATATAGCCTATTGCTTATCATTTATTCATCAGGTTATGCCCATTTTGCAAATGAGGAAAGCAGTCCCCACAGAGGTGAAGTAACTTGCCCAAGGCCACACAACTGGTGAATCTTGGGCTGGGATTGAACCCATGTGGCCCGGCTCCTGCAGTACCTGAGGTTGCCCCCGCACAGGTGGAATGAACCACTAGGGATGATCTCTGAGCTGCCCCCAAGAGGAGCATGAAAGTCCCAACCCACGACGATACACATGGCTGAGGGCTGCTCTATCAGCTTGGCCAGGCTGTATTTCCTGTCCTGCAGTGTGTGCCCCACCAGGCCTCCACACACAGGAATGGCCACACCCATCAGCTGGCCTTGATGCCCTCCTAGGATGCCCAGACCAAGAGATGCGTTTTAAAAGCCATGAGTTCTAACCTTAGCATTTTACAAGTACTAGCTGAGTGACTCTTCACAATAGCCCTGTGCAGTAAGTTCTGCTGGAATCCCTGTTTAACAGGCAAGGAGACAGACATCAAAGGGTGAAGAAACTTCCCCATCATGTCACAGGTGGTAAGTGGTAAAGTCAGATCTAACATCCAGGTCTTTTTCTGATACCAGAGCTGGGCTCTAATCTCTGTCTTCTCAGAGGTTAGAGAAATAAGCCAGGGGGGAAATGCTGGTGCAAGAAATGAAGGTCTTAAGTCCTTTGCAGTACAATAGCCATTTCTGGGTTCAGCGGCCAGGCAGTGATGGGGCCAGAGGCTGTTGGGGGCAACCCCTCAGGTCAGGCCACAAACAAGTGGGAGAGCAGCCAATTAGATTAAGGCCTTAATCACAAACCTGGCTCAGAGCCTAGTCACAAAAGCTTACTGCAGCCCCAACTGTGCCCCAGGGCTAAGAAATTTCCAGTGGACTAGCTCAGCTCTCAGCGTGCAGGCAGCCTATCCCCACCCCCACCTTTGGAGATGGGAACTCTCCCACTTGGAAGCATGGGGACTTCCCATCAAATAAATTTTGGCCAAGAATCTGATGTGCTCAGTGAGAAACTAATTTCACATCTAATAGTTCATTGCTATCAAGAAGTCCTTCTCCGAGCTTTCAGGGCACAAAGAAACTGATGCGTCCTACCCTTCCACCTTTTATTCTTCACCGGCACTACCACACCCAGGCACACACCCTCCTTCCTCTCGCCTTCATGGAGGAGGCTGCTTGTCCTCCAGGTCTAGGTGAGGAAGCAGCCCCTGCCCCCCAGCCCTCCATCAGTCCACTCACTGCCAAGCCAAAAGGCAGTTCTCTGCCTTCTCCAGGACTGGCAGCGAAGCGGCCAGGGAGAGGCGTGCTAGCGTGAAAAGTAAAGAGACACAACGGCTGTGCGGCTAAGACTGCGACGCAGCAACACAAACGCTGGGTAGCCCCGAAGAGTCCCACCCCTCGGCCCGTAGCAGCCTGGCGGCTCTTTCCGCGGGGGATGCTGACCCCTGCTGGCTGCGCGCGCGGACGCAGCGCGGCTACCACCGGGACTGCTACCGTGAGTCAGGGGCCTTCCCGGGGAGGGGCTGAGCTCTCTGTGCAGCAATAGGACCCCGGATGGAGGCAATGGGCCTTCAGGGGAGGGCATGGGGCTCAGAGGCCCTAAGTTCTAGTGCTGCCACCGCCACACCCGGGTCAGGGCTGGCTGCCTCAGCCCCTCCTCTCTCTCATGTGCTGTCAACTCCTCATATGTTCTAGGAGTACAACAGTGAGAAGAAAAAGGAAGAGGTCTATAGTATAAATAGCTCTGGTATGCCTCCAGGGCCTACCTGCACCTCCCGAAGGCTCCCCCAATCAGGGTCTTTCTCAGGACCAGCCAATTCCAAGTCATGAGCTAGTGAAGTAGCATTCATTTAACAGATGGTTACTGACGGTGGTGGGCTGAATAATGGCTCCCAAAGATATCCAGGTCCTAATCCCTGGAACCTTGACATCGCCTTATACGGCAAGAGGGACTTTGCAGGTGTGATTAAGTTAAGGGCGTTAAGATGGGGAGATTATCCTGGATTATTCAGGTGGGTTTTAAATGTAATCGCAAGCATCCTTATAAGAGGGAGGGAGAGGGGGATTGACTACAGAAGAGAAAGAAAGCCATGTTACAAAGGAAGCAGAGAGAGAGGTTTACGATGCTATGCTGCTCGCTTTGAAGATGGGTAAGGGGCCATGGGCCAAAGAATGCAAAGAATGCAGCTCTAGAAACTGGAAAAGACAAGGAAATGGATTCTCCCCTGGAGGCTCTGCTGATACCCTGATTTTGGCCCAGTGAAACTGATTTCAGACTTCTGGTTTCCAGAACTGTAACAGCATAAACGTGTGTTGTTTTAAGCCACCCAGTTTGTGGTAATTGGTTACAGCAGCCATCAGAAACTAGTACATGACCTTCTACTCTCAAACTCATGTGCTAGGCACTTGGCATAAAGCAGCTAATGAACAAGACAGACCCCCACTTTACCCCAGAGAAGTTTACAATTTCCCTTTCTTGGGATTTTAAAAAGCAATAGCCATGGGGCCAGCCCAGTGGCATAGTGATTAAGTTTGCATGCTCTGCTTTGGCAACCCGGGGTTCATGGGTTTGTATCCCAGGCATGGACCTACATACTGCTCATCAAGCCATGCTGTGGCAGCATCCCACATACAAAATAGAGGAAGACTGGCACAGATACTAGCTCAGTGACAATTTTCCTCAAGCCAAAAAAGGAAGATTGGCAATGGATGTTAGCTCAGGGCCAATCTTCCTCATACAAAAAAAAAAAAAGTGCAACAGCCAAAGAGACATTTCACCATAGAAGATAAATGAATGACCAATAAGCACATGAAAGATGCTCAAGATCATTAGGGAGGGCAGGAATCATTAAAACTACAATGAGGGAAATGCAAATCAAAACTACAATGAGGTATCACCTTATACCCATCAGAATGGCTATAATTCTGGGAGTCAGAGAAAAGGGAACCCTCACACACTGCTGGTGGGAATGCAAACTGGTGCAGCCACTACGGAAAACAGTATGGAGATTCCTCAAAAAAATTAAAAATAGAAATACCATATGATTCAGCTATCCCACTACTGGGTACTTATACAAAGAACATGAAATGAATATTTCAAAAAGATAAATTATTCACATTAGCCAAGATGTGAAAGCAACCCAAGTGTCCATCGATGGATGAGTGGATAAAGAAGATGTGGTATATATATAATGGAATATTACTCAACCATAAAAAAGACAAAATTGTACCATTTGTGACAATATGGATGGACCTTGAGGATATTATGCTGAGCAAAATAAGTCAAAGAAAGACAAATACTGTATGATTTCACTCATATGTGGAAGATAAACAAACACACACATAGATAAGGAGAACAGATTAGTGGTTGCCAGAGCAGAAGGGAGTAGGTGGAAGGAAAAAGGAGTAAAGGGGTACATATGTATGGTGACAGATAAAAACTGGACTGTTGGTGGTGAACACGATGCAGTCTATACAGAAACTGAAATATAGTGATGTACACCTGAAAGTTACACAATGTTGTAAGCCTATGTAACCCCAATAAAATACTTTTTTTAAAAAACTACAATGAGACACCACTTCACACCACTACAATGACTATAATAGAAGAGACAGACAATAATAAACTTTGGCAAGGATGTGGAAAAACTGGAGTCCTCATACATTGCTGGTGGGATTGTAAAATGGTGCAACCGCTTCTGAAAATAGTTTGGTAGTTTCTTTAAAAGCTTAACAAATTACCATATGACCCAGCAATTCCACTCCCAATAATCTATCCAAGATAAACGAACATCTATATCCAAAGACATGTACATAAATGTTCATAGCTGCATTATTCATAACAGCCAAGTCCTGGAAATAACTCAAACATTTGTCAACAGTGAATGAAAATGTGGTATACACAATGAAATATTATTCAGCAATAAAAAGGCAGAGATTACTGACAGGGTTCAACATAGATTAACCTCAAAAACATTACACTACGTGAAAGAAGCCAGACACAAAAGACCACATATTATATGATGCCATTTATATGAAATGTCAAGAGGCAAACCCATAGAAACTGAGAGATTAGTGGTTGCCTGAGACTGGGAGTGGGAATGGAGAATGGCTACAAATAGGAAGGTGGGGTCTTTTTCGGGTGATGACAGTGTTCTAAAAGTGGATTGTGGTGATGGTTGCACAACTCAGCTAAAACAGGTGAATTTTAGGGTATGTAAATTATACCTCAATAAGGCTATCATTTAAAAAAATACACAGCCCAAGTATAGGTTGATGAGGCCTCAAAAATCCTAGGAGTATTTGTATTTTAAGTGGGGCTCTTTAAAAGAATTTCAAGATCTAGACTATGAGCGAAAGCCAGATGACAGGCTGAGTTTACACTTAGCCCAGCACTTCTTCAGGTCATCCTGGTGGGCAGTGTCTGCTCCTCCACCAGGTACCCCGGTTATGCCAGTGCCCTCCTTTACAGTCTGGGGAGCAATAGGAGCAGAGCTGTACACTGTTCACCTCCCACCTTGGCTAGCACCCCACAGGGAAACAGGTACGTGCCTCATGCAGCCATATTCATGCAACAGCACCCTGGTCTGATACTTCAACTTTCCATGAGGCACACATGGAATCTGCTGCACTCCACCCCCACAGCTGCTTCAGTCCAGCTGGAGCAGTTGAGACCCTCCTGTATTCCCCTCCCTCCTCTAAGAAGGGCCTTGTACCTCATCCCACCCAGCTCTTCCCTAGCTCCTTCCAGCTTACAAGGCTGCTCTTGGGAGAAGTTAGGATGTGGGAGCTGGGGCAGGAAGCTGCCAACACAGGGTCAGAGTTGCCAGTCATATTCAGCCCTGCATTCCCCAAGAGCCTGAGGCCAGCTGCAATGAACTCCTTATCCGGCAGCTTTACTTCAGGTAGAGTAGTTCCTTCTACAGACGAGGCCCATACTCAGCACTGGGGATAGAAGTGGTTCTGCTTCCAGAAACTCAGGACTCAGTCTGTCTGCCTCTAAGTTTTTCTTCTCAGTCCAATTTACAAATTTCTCCCACTATTCCATTCATAGTGTGGGGGAGGAAGACATTTTCCTCTACCCTTCTAGGTTCTTCTGGCTGGTCTAATAATTAAATTGACGTGAGACAGATAAATAGGAGAAAATAAAATTTAATTTTGTATGTATGGGAACCCCACGTACATGTGAGAGTCAGAGACCCTACGTACATGAGAGATTCAGAGATAAAAAGGTAAAATGAAGTATATGTGTCACCTTGAGCTAAGGAATGGGGTAGGGGCCTGAGGCTTCAGAGGGGAGGAGGTAATTCACAGGACACTAAGAAGAGCAGATGTTCAGTAAGTAGAGGTTTGCCCTGCCACACAGATAGATCATAAAAGTTTATTTCTGGTAATAACTCTTATCATAGGCAAGGCTCCCAATTTAAATTCTTTAAGGGAGAGGTCAAAATTTCTCTTGAGCCCACAGGGTCTCAACTGCCTTTAGCTCAAAATATTCCATGTGCCGAAGTGGCACAACTTAGGGAGGCCTGTTCTGAACCCCTTCAATAGGACACAAGCACATGCAAGCACCTATTCCCTAATTGTCTCTTAATTCCTCTGCCCATTTAGCTCAATATAATTAAAGTAAGCATAGCGAGGGCAGGAACCATATTTAAGACCTCTTGCATCATCTCCAATACGTCCTCCCCACAAAATGCCAAGTGTGGGCAAAGAGCAGAGGAATGGTTAATGTCTCATTTTTAAAAGATAAAGAGCCAAACATTAGTGGTAGATTTAAGGAAGATGATCCACAGAGCTGGGTTTTTTTTTTTTTTTTTTAACATACAAAGGGGTTTCTTTTATTTAGGGTCAAACTGTAGGGCTCTAACATCAGCCTGGCATATACAGTGGCCAAAATAGAACACGAACAGAAGACAGAATGTCTCCATAAATACGAATTCATAATCCAATAAAATACAACTGAGGATGAAGGAAAAAGAATCAAGAACAAGAGATTCTCGCCTCCTACTTTTAGGGGAATTTCTTCTAAAAGAATAACAAGAGAATAAACAAGTGAACTGCCAACATTTTATCATAAGCCAAAGCCAGACGTTCTATGTCAGTGATGTTAGTGGCTCTCGTCTCTGTCCATTATGTTTTATCAGGTTGTTCTCCCATTCACTACAAGGGAAGGGAAAGTCATGTCAAGGTCTTGTTTAACACTCCAGTGTTAAACACTTGATGGATTTTTTTCCCTTTATTTCAGGTACTTGGACTATCATAGAAATGAATCAGGCTTTTCCCCCACGAAATGGAATAAATATACACAAACACATCTTGAATAAAACAACCAAACCTCCAGAACATGTACTTCTCCATTCCAGTCAGCCTGCCTTCATCATTTTGGGGTGAATAGTAGTCCTTGCTTCATAAGATCTGTAAGCAAAGTAGAGATTGTATGCGACCACCTTTCCTCTTTATTACAGCTGTTCAAGCTTCAATACATTCCTACCAAGGTGATTAGGAGGCTGGCTCAGCCCCAGGACACAGGGAATGTTGCCCAAAAAAAGACCCAATGCACCACAGCAGTAAATAAATAGCTGTTGCTTATCTCTAATAGGACTGTATTTTTCTGAACAAACTTTCTTCAAGAACACAAGTTAAAGCCAACTAATTCCAGGAAAGAAATGCTGACACTTAATTATCAACCATTAAAGTCAAGTATTCCTGAAAAAAAAAGTGAAGAAACTTATTGTCTTCTGTTCCCACTTTTGGTTTTATTTGACCATCTTGAGCATCTGCTGCAGATCTTCTCCTTCTTAGTTATGAAAGGAAAAGGAAAACCCACAAGGCCACAGCCCACTCTCCAGCGTGTGTACTCCACTGTCTGCACGGAGTGTTCATCATTGCACTTATGTCATATGCACACAAGTTTGTAGATTTTTAAACATTTGTATTCCTATAGTCTTTTAGCAGCTATAAGGAGTCAGTCAAGTAGAAGATACCATAATTTATTTGATCTTGTTCAACACTCATATTTCTAACTTTTATTATAATAATCCTATGACAAATATATTAGTATATGAGTTTTCCTAGTTATATCTTTCTGGGTTTTCTAGAAGTGAGACATGTGGGCCTGAGAACCATTTGTTTTAGGCTCTTGATATGTCCGTTACCCTGTTTTCCAGAAGGCTCATGACAATTTATAGCCCTGTACTCAACGTCTTATAAGAACCACTAACACTTTATAGCTTGTATCACATGCCATGTACTGGAATAAGCTCTTCATATTAGCTCATTTAATCTTCATAACAATCTTATGAGGTAGGTCATATTGTCCCCCACAGAAGAGGAAACTGAGGCACAGAAGTTATGCCACGTCTTTTTACCTTAGGAAAATCCCCTTTTATGAGGAAAGTCACCTTGTCAACTGAAGGTGAACATTGAGGGGAACCAGAGTTGCCACAATTACCGATGTCTGTTACAACATAAGATTGTATCCAGGGGGCTGGCCCCGTGGCCGAGTGGTTAAGTTCGTGCGCTCGGCTTCGGTGGCCCAGGTTTCACCAATCCTGGGCATGGACATGGCACGGCTCATCAAGCCATGCTGAGGTGGCGTCCCTCATGCCACAACTAGAAGGACCCACAACTAAAAGTATACAACTATGTACTGGGAGGCTTTGGGGAGAAAAAGGAAAAATAAAATCTTTAAAAAGATTGTATCCGTAAGGAGTGTGGGATGAGTGATCCTTTGTACCATCTAAGTGGCTATGGTCCTTCCCCAAAACAGCTCAACGAGCCATTCAGAGATCTGACAAAAATGTAGGTGGTAGTAGAATTCCTAGTCAATTAGGTTTCAGTAAGTTAAAAACTTTTAGAACTGGAAACTTTGTTAAACTCACATGTGGACTTTATAGAGCTAAGAAAACAGATTTGGAACAGGCGCTTTGTCCAAAACCCTATTAGGGACTCATCTGGGACTAGAGCCTAATCAGCCAAACCCCAGTCTGACACCCCCTACCATGCCCGTTACCCCTCAGTTGCGTTCCCTGAGCCCAGCCAGAAAGAAGATCAGCAAGTCAGGGTGTAGAGGAAAGTTTCCCACCTGGGTAAGAGCCAAAAGCCATGAGTGAGGGAGAGAGAAGGAGAGAGGTAGGGGAGAGGGGGAGGCAGGAAAGAAAGAGAGAAGGAGGAAGAGGGGGCAGGAAGGAGGGAGGAGAGGGGAGGGACAGAAAATGGGAATGGGCAGGGGGTGGGCATCCCCACCAGCAACAGTTGACCTGGTCACTAGAACAAGAAGGGTCCATGGGCACACAGCTACGTAGTCCAGTTTCAACTTACCTCCTGCTTCAACTCTCTCACCACAGATTTTAACACTTTGGAAGAGGCCCCACTCAAAGACTTTGAGGTGTTTTGGCTTAACCATCGTTTTAACTAAGACATCCGCCGGAGAAAGAGGAGGCAAAAAACCCCTATCAACAAAACATACCAAGAGTGCTCCAGTCTCACAAGCCTCCTTGGGACTTTCACGCCCTAACTGACCTAGAGCATGCTCCTACTGCTTGCACTTATGTTTGAGTTTACAGCAGCCTTGGGAGTGGATTCTGAGACAACGGCCCTTGGGTGATGTTGCTATTCAGGTTAAGCCTGATAAATACAAAACCTAAGACACAATACACTAACAATGTATTGAGTTTGTGTATTTGTGAAGTTGGGAAGGCACACAGCTTGAAATCTGGAGCAGAAAGGCTGATTTCTGATCAATTTCCTGATGCGACTAGTGAAGACAATGCTTTGTAGCCTCAATATACAGCCTCTCTTCTGCTATTGGCTTACAAGATGGATTTAGAGGATTCAGGGCTCTAAACAGGATTAATGGGTTTGGCATATATCTGTACTCTCCGATTATGAAATCTTACCTCCTGGATTATGTTGAAATGCTAGAACAGAGCCATTTCCAGGAAGTGGCGAAAATATTGTTACATGTACGCGGGTAACAGGAGAAAGTGAAAGAGAACTTAGTTTTGCTTTCCTACTTAGATAAATCAAATTCCTATAGTGTTTCAAACTTAGTTCAGACATTGATAATGATTTTAATAATATAGATGAAATGTATTTAGCTCACATTCTGTGCCAAGGTACTGATGTTCAATATGCTTTCTATAATTAAGTTGGTGAACCTTATAACCCTATCGGGTACTATCATTTCCATTTTACAGAGGATAAAACAGAGGTTGAATGACTTACCAAAGGTCACACAGCTAGAAAACTGCAGAACCAGGATTCAAACCCAAGCTGTCTGGCTCCAGACTCTACACTTAAACCAAAATACCTTGTAAGACTGTATGTGTGCCTGACTTCCTCCATTCTCAGCCTTAGTTACCTCACCTGTAAAATGGAGACCCTATCACCAATTTCAAGATTCTTGAGGGATCAGCAGAGCATCTGTGAGCAGCAATGTCTTTATGTAGTGGAGTCTCGACCGGCATTCACTCCCTCTCCCATGAGCAAAGGTTTATTTTCATTTCTGAGGAAAAAACAGAGTCAGAGAAATGTCATGACAGAGTGGGAAGGGACCCGAGAAGCCGCCTACTACAACCACCCTTCCGCCCTTTGTCTGGAGGGTCAAACTCCCTTCTCCAGCTTTCTTTGGTCACTTACAGTAATGAGCACTCTGCTCATAATGCAGTCCATTCCATCTCAATACAGGGAGGTAAATTCCTCACCGGTAAAAGAAAAACTTCTCATAGACCTTCAGATACTTACAGCAGCTGCCAAGTTAGCCATTTCAATAGCCTTCAAGACTCCTGACTCCCCTGATAACCCTTCCTGGGTTCCAGCTTGACAAAGGTTGTCAAAGCTGCCTTCAAAGTATGATACTCAGAACAGAGCTGTGTCAGGCAGGGTGTGACTACAGCAAAATTAAAGACTGCTATCCCCTCCCTTGATCTGTACCTTCTACTTCTCTTAATGTGACCCAAGTTTATGTTCTCCAAACAGTGCTAAAATAGCCATGCCTATGATACCAGATCTCAGTTCCTAATCCCAATTACCCTCCACCCTCCAAAGTTGCCTCTTGATACTAACTGACCAAAAAGAGGCTTTTGAGAAAATGAACACAGTGATAGCTCTATAGTTCAGAGCAGGAGAACAAGGCCATGAAACCAAGGTTTTGTGGCCCTCATGCCCACTAAATGATTAAAATAATCACAAGTCAAAGTCTCAGAGCTTCACAATTTAAACTGTTCTGAGGTCCTAAAGGCCAACTCAGTCAACTTCTGTTGCTGATGTTGAGGCTGCTATGTGTTTCCAGCTCTTCTCCCTTCCAGACCCTACAGGATTGTACTTCCTGACCCCCTTGTGTTTGGGTGTGCTTGTGTGATTACTTGCAGCCACTGAGTTCACTTCTGGGCCTCAGCATTTAACTGCTGGTACAAAGACAGACCCTCCGGAGCTCTTCCTCTCTAGCGAGGCAACCAACGACCATGAGGTTGGGCAGCTGAGGGCCTATGATGAGCAGAGCCCACCTGCCAAATGTGATGGTCTGCAGCCTGAGTGAGAGATACACCTTCCTTTGTTTTTGAGCCACTGAGATTTTGGTGCTGTTTCCTACTGCAGTAAAACTTAGTGTATTCTGATTGATACAATTCCATTATTAAATTCCTGAAAGGAATAGAGTTTCTCTTTCAACATTTCCTAGATCCTTCTCATACCACTTAGTATCTCCTAAGAGATGTCACCCACTCAAGACTCTTCCTTCCTTCTTTTTTCTGATTGGTCTTAATAGCTTTATTTGAAGTGAAAATATTTAGGATTATAGAAGCACAACTGTTACTGATAAACCAGCAGGAGGACTCCTCCTAAGGTCTTAGAGACCAGTGATTTCCAGCAGCTGTAGCAAGAACAAGGGCTGTTACCACCCTCAGTGAGCCACTGCCCTCCAACCTCAGAGGTGAAGGGGCCACCTGACCTAGGCCTGGGAAAGGTGGTTGAAGAAGGGAGGACGAAATATATCCTCAAGAACTAAGATTTTGCACAGCCTTGCTGTTAAGTTCAAGCTCTCCCTAGGAACAGCTCTCTGCTTGGTGAAACTGCTTTGTTCCAGGGAGAGCTGACCCAGGGAATGAGAAATTCCATAAACAGCCTCCCAGCAGAAGCACATCTAGCTACGGAAGTACAATCACTGCTTTCATACAGGTCACGACAGGAAACGAATAGGGATGACTGACTTAAAAAGTTACCAAGTTGCTTCAATTTTGCTTTTTGCTCTGCAAGACATGGGGAAGTGACACCCTGCAGAGTGCCCAGCAGATCCAAAGTGTCCAAGTCACAGGACTGTCTGGCATTTGCCAGGCTTCCTTTCCATTTGTTACACGGTTACTTCAGTTGAGGGACTCCCACCCTATCCACCTACACTCGGGGGGCCCAGGGTACACAGCACTTACCCAGCTATAGTAGAATCAGCTTCCTGGGCTCCCATTGGCCCCGTAACCCACCAACTTCAGACCATGGGTTTTTGGGGGAAAGAAGTTTAACTTAAACCTGATAGGATTCTAAAACCTAAGACTTTGGCAGAGTGGAGTAGGGGGTAGTCAAAAGATGGAAGAAACCCTACCAATTTTCCTGTAAAGTATTTGGGAAGGAATAACTGGTACTCATTAACTCATTGGATCTCCACTGATGGAAATAAGGCATCCAGAACTGAGAAAATGCCTTCCATCACCAGCATTCCAGAAAGTCTAAAGTCATAAGCTATTATTCAACTGAGTTTATCATTGTATTTCCTGAAGTTCCCAAGAAGATGCTCCAAGGAGAGGTAACATTTATCCAAGAGTTACAAGCTATGTGCCTAGAACTTGCTGGGCCCTGGGGATACGCTAGTGCACAGGTCAGATGACCTGTCCTCGTGACACTCACATTGCAGTGAAACACAATAAACCAGAAAATTGCTGGTAGTAATAAGTGCTCTGAAAGAATTAAACAGGGCAATGTGACAGGAGCTGTTGGTGGCATCTAAGCTGAGATCTAGAAGACAAAAAGGAGTCAGATAGGGAAAGGGCTACAGCCACTAACAGAGTCAAATGATCTAGAAAGCTAGACTTAGTGAGAGACACAGAACAGGTAAGTTTTGATGAAGGGAAGGGAAGGCAAGAACAAACCTCAGGCCAAATTCTTTTATGCCTGCCTCACTGCAAGACAGCACTTAAAACAACCCAGCAACTGGAGGTATCAGTACTTCAGTAACCCTTCCATGTTCTCATGCAACAGGACGGCAGCCCCTTGTGGACAGTCCTTCCCACCAGCCGTGTCCATACCCAAGAATGGGATGAAAAAGCCCAGCAGGGGGAGGAAGCACTATGGATTTGTGCCTCCGATCCTGGCCTTCATGGAGCTCTAGTGTTGGGCCAGGAGTGTGGTCTCCAACAGGACCTGCTGAGGGATTAGCCGTGGCCCCACTGAGCTTGCCACAGGGCCAGATGACAATCTGGTGTTTGGCATTCTCACCCTTCAAACCCAAAGCCCTGACCCAGCTGCTGCCAGCAGGTAGAGGGTCCTAGGCAGTCTGATGCTCAAGACTGACTTCCTGAGCACTTTTCAAATCCAGAGGTTCCTCTCGGAGAGATCTTCTCCCCCAAGGGTCAGGTGAGGAGTCCAGGCTGTCTCCTATGGTCACCTCATCCCACATATGAGCCATTTCCCCATATTTCTATTCAGGGGCAGCTGTGAACCCCAACACTCTCTCCTCCTTGCTTGGAAAGAACAGAAAGGACTTGGAGGGCCATTCTGAAGGGGCTGGCAGCAGATGATTCACCAAGCCATCCAGCATGGCTTTAGTCTTCAATTTGGGGTTCCAGAAAATGGTAGTGCGCAGGGCTTTTGTTAGACTCCTTTCTCCATCCCATGTCTTGCTTAGCTGCACCCTGGGGGCTAATAAGTTTTCATCCATGAACAAAAGATCTTCTTCCCCAAAGGTAGAAGAGAAAGTGGGGGCACATGCCCTCTAGGCTCTGAGGCCTCCTCATCTCTCATTCTAGTCGGCCCCTCAGGCTTTGCCCCTCAGCTTCCCAGACCCACATGGGTGACACTTGGGTCTGAGATGGTTTCTAGCTGCCACTTTGGGGCCAGGACAGAGTGAGGCTCTTCACTGCCAGGGCTCATGGGGAATTCTCTCCTGGGCTCAGCAAAGACATAGTATTGGCCTCAGAATGCACCACTGGTGGGTCTGGAGGTCAACCTCATGGAAAGCAGTACTGCATGGACAGCCAGTGCTGGTGCAGCAAACACTAGACTTTCAAAGTGTCTACATGCACTAGAGGCCTGCCTTTCCACAGTTAAAGAGACTCCTTGGAAGATGACCTTGTCCTGGCTCTTGGCACAGTTCTCATGGCCACCAAACCATTGAATGTAAATCACAACATGTCTCTCAGGACTGACCCAGATGCTCCAGTTGCCCCAGGTATTTGGCAGGTGGCTGAACAGATTCTGTGGCAGCAATAACTCCTCAAATGGGTCCTTCAAAACCACACGGTACCTTCTGATTGGAACATATACTACCCTGATGTTTTGTCTCACCTCTGTGGAGAAAGGAGTTGAGGGGGAAGGGAGAAGACTGAAGAAGGAACCAGGTCAATATAAGACAGCAAATGAGGGGCCGGCCCCATGGTGCAGTGGTTAAGTTCACACGTTCTGCTTCTTGGCAGCCCAGGGTTTGCCGGTTCAGATGCCTGGTGCGGACATGGCACCGCTTGGCAAAAGCCATGCTGTGGTAGGCGTCCCACATATAGGGTAGAGGAAGATGGGCATGGATGTTAGCTCAGGGCCAGTCTCAGCAAAAAGAGGAGGATTGGCAGTTTTTAGCTCAGGGCTAATCTTCCTCAAAAAAAAAAAAAAAAAAAAAAAAGACTCAGCAAATGAGTCACAGAGAGGGGCACTATAAATGTAACTTATTCAACCCCAAATAAGATATAAGACTCACCCTAGGCTATGCTTAAGGGACAAGACTTCTCAGAAGGCTCTCAGCTCATGTGTCACCACCTCCAGAAGCTTCCCTCCTACTTCCTCATATCTCCTCCCTTCTCTGGTTGCCCTCAGTGCCCTAAGAATCCTTGTATCCTGACAGTAGTCATGCAGGGCATTTGTCATGTTGCCTTTGGCTGTCATTGGTTTGTCTCCAACCCCCCAGTATGAACTTCTTGGTGGCAGAGACTGGCTGTCTCCCAGCGGCTACTGCCCAACAGCACCCTGGAACACCTGCTGGATGAAGAGTGATCATACAGTGTTTACAGCCTCTGCTCCAGAGCACAGAAGCAGAGATCTCTGGGGCTGAACCTGCACTCATTTCCCACCCTGACCTACACCTGGGAAGGTAATGAGGGAAGCAGGTAGTCCAATCTATGGTTTATCAGTAAAAAAGGAAATGGATGACATTTGGAACATGTAGCAAGGTCTCCAAGAGGCTCTTAATGGGCCTTCTGCCATCCTGATGCAGAGTTCTCTGCAGGAGGGTAGCATGTGAGTCAACAGAGACTCCCCTCATCCATCCATCATTTGCTTTCTTCCTCATCCTGCCCCTGTCACAGTTCTGTGGAGCCTCTTACCATGGCCTCAGTTCTCTGAGACCAGCATTACTCATTCTGGCACCAAGCAACTTGGAGAGAACAGGCAAGGCCCAACATCTAGGCTCTGTGAGAGGGCATCTCCACCCTCCAGAGAACACAGGTCTAAGCATTCCAGGAGGAAGGAATCCCCAGACACTGATATAGGGCTGAATCAGAGCACCCTGAAGAAAGCTGGCCACAGCCTTAACTCCCTAAGGAGATGGGGAGTTTCATTCAATTCTCCTGCAGAAGTTAGAGCTGCCAACTTTAACCAGACATGAGCAGGAAACTAATGCAAGAGACTAACTGCCTCTGGCACTCCAGGGGACTAGGAGCGTTAAGGACTTTCCCACTACAGAGCCAGATCTTGAGTGAGGCACACACAAAATTGCTCACTTGCAAGGAAGAGGTCTCTATGCACCCCTTCCCTGCTTTACCCTCCAAAGAAAACCAGGATCAGGTTATAACAGCAAGAACTTGTTAGAAGAGTGTTGACCTGAGGGTGGTTGTGGACACTAAGGTCCGGGACAGCAGCA